CAAGTAAATAATTCCTTAAGTGATGAAAAATTACTGGTTCAACTGGCAGATTATTTCACTTTTAATATGGGAAAAAATAGTTATTGTAGCTGAAATAATCTTCCTTTTGTACAAGTATTTTTTAAATCAGTATTAAAGAATTAATGACTTAAACATGCTCCTAATTATTGCTGAAAAGTTACTTGTAACTTGGTTTTGTTTTCTATCATATTTACTAAGATATTTGTACTAGAACTAGACTTAAAATACTGGTTAGTATTTTGTGTTTTTGCAGTGAATGAAAGATGGAGCCGTTTTTCCTGACTGCAGACTGAGAGCAGCTGCTGCTTTCTGTCTTATCAGATGTTGTTTATCACTTTGTTTCCTTCTGGGAGCAGATTTTAAGTTTATTTTAAGGTTTTAATCGAGCTGCTGCTGACTTCTGCAACTCCTCTGTTATTTAAACAACATTAAACAAACTGCATCTGGGATGAAAGTACTTTATCTGCTAAAAAAGCTCATGTTGTGCAGTTTATTTATTGTTTTCTCAATTATATTTACTCAGGTTTATCTGATTTATCTTCCAGTAATTTTCTTCCTTAACATTAAAGCAGCTTATTTTCCCAGAAATGCAGAAACAGTTTTTGACCAAAGTGTTTTTAGTTGATATAATGTTTACGAATGAAATGTTTAGCATTTCTAAGTTTAGATAAGAGAAAGCAGCAACATTGGCATTAAGAGGGTTAATTTGATTGTTAGGAAGCTGGCAATTAATTTAAAAAAATATCATCCCTTATTGTTTCCTGCTCAGTGAGTTTTACCAACTTAATGATTAAGCTGCAGCGTTTTTGTTTGAGCCGAACTTCTGGTCTATTTTTAGCTGTTCTCCCTAACAACTGTGGCAACAAAGAGACTAAAAATGCAGCTCAAATAAAAAATAATAAAGCTTTACTCCCCTGATAAAATGCTGTGATGTATATTAGTGATGCTGTTTGGATAAATCTGTATATTTTTAAACCTTGCGCCACGCCTGTTCAGATGTGCTCAGGTCTCCCTCTGCTGGTAAGAGCAGGAAACTGCTTGTCCTTCCGCTTCTGATTGACAGACTTGACCCCGCCCACTCTTGCTCAATCCTCAAATCTGATTGGCTGTTCGTTCTCTCTGTCATCACTTGTGGTTCTTTCCAAGAATTAATCCTCAAATCTTTCCTGCTGTTGACAATTTTTACTCTTCAGCTGTTTTCCTGCCTCTTATGTTTGTTTGTTTGTTTTAATTTAAACTATTTTTATATTATTTTCCTTCAGTATTTTTTCCCTTTGTTTTGCATGAAGCATTAAAGTTAAATGAGTTTGACTAACTTGCTGTAGAGTAGTTTCCAAATGGATAGAAAATCACTTTACTTTTCTATCCAATAAAATCATCTTTAAATTATCATTAAAAACTCTTTTTTATTATTATTTTCTGGAGGTTTTATGCTGTTGCTGTTTTTACATCCTCATTAAGTTAATTTCTGCTGCCTTTGTCTTTTCTTTTCTCTCCTCAGGGACAATTGTTAGCGTGGGAGATCCTAAGAAGAAATATACTCGGTTTGAAAAAATAGGACAGGGGTGAGTGCTTTATGAAAAACATGATTACATAAAGCTTAGTCATGAAAAAAAAAAAAACCTAAATAATTAAACGCCAACACGCTTTTAATGAATTTTCCTCAACTTAGTTTTAGGCCTAGTCCACACATAGCCAGATATCTGAGAAAATAAATACATTTTTACGCATTTTGGTGTTTTTGTTTCACTAAAAACAATTATTTATAAAAACAAATGCCTATCTGTCAGTACATGTTGATGCAGAGTGCACTGTCATAGTGGCAGATTTATTTATTAAAATAGTTTTAAGAAAAATAAATCTGTTTATTTGAATCAAAGTGAAATTATCTTGCGTATTTTCTAAGATATAAATTATTATACACTTATAGATGGGATTTCATAGTGAAAACATAATTTGTTTTTTGTCTAAAGGAGTTTAAATATTTCTCATTTTATTTTTCTGAACTATTCAGGAAGATTTGTCTTTATTGTAAAAGTATATATTGTTTCTAATTCTAAAATACATGTTGATCTTTTCTTAAATACCATAATTTTATTTTGCCTCCAGCTGGTCTAAATTGGACCTTTCTCCCTTTCCTTTCCCTTTTAGCGCCTCTGGTACAGTGTACACAGCTATAGACATCGCTACAGGACAAGAGGTCAGTTTGTTTTCTTCTTTTTCAATTTGTAACAAAAAAGCCAAATAAAAATACTTAAAAAAAATAGTTATCTTTGAAAGATAATGCATTTCTGATGATTACATTAAGAAAACCAGCTACTTTGGTTATTTTGCCAAGCAAAGTAGAAAAACTACCCGAATAAAATGTTTGAAAATGTACAATATTCACTATAAATTGGATTCAGTTGAAATTAAAAATAAAAATCTAGTTTGAAGTTTCTAATGTGACATGTAAAGTGAATGTCGGTTAATTTTATGCTTTTAATTAAAGCAAAACAACACAAAGAAGAGAAAAACTGTGAGTTCAGGTGAAGTTCACACAATAGAAAGATGCAACATATTTAATTTCTCGAAACATCCTGGATTATTTCATAGCTAATCCGTCACTTTCACCCTCAGGATTAGCCCACTTCACTCCATAAAGACTCCTTGCACCTCCTCACATATATATATTTTTTTTCAATGTTTTTCTTGTATTTTTCTTTCCTGTCAGGTTGCCATTAAACAGATGAACCTGCAGCAGCAGCCAAAGAAAGAGCTGATCATCAACGAGATTCTGGTGATGAGGGAAAACAAGAACCCAAACATTGTCAACTACCTGGACAGGTTAGCTCTTGCAGCACAGCCTTAGGCTGAGAATATGTGGGAAGGAGATGGTAGCGAATGCTTTTAGCTGTTAGACTAGGCTTTCCAACACTTAAAGCAGGTAGTGCTCCTCGTTTTCAAACACTGACTCCAGCTAAAGTTGTTAGTGGTGACAAATGGTAGATATAGCACAGTTAGCATACACACATGTAATATACCAGTGGAAGGCTAAACCTAAAGCATGAAACAGCTAACAGTAAAACGTTATACCAGAGTGGTATTTAGTGGAAGCTATTATGCTAAAGTTGGAATCGGATACTTATTCCAACTAAAGTTGTTTAACGGCGACAAGTGGTAAATTTAACACAGTTTGCATTCTTGCATCTACTATACCAATAATGGGAATGGCTAATTAAATGTTAGCTACACTAAACCTAAAGCACTAAACTCCTACATCAACATAGTATTTAGCAGAAGCTAATGCTAATGTGCTAACTTAAATTCAAATTCTACCTGCCATTGCAAGACTAAATATTTTTATTGCCCTTAGATATTGTATTCATGTTTATATTTTGTTCTCCACTTTCTGCATCTTATTTTGCTCCATTTCTGTTTGATGTTTGAAGTAAAGTTATATGGATGGAAAAAGATCTTCACCCACTGCAAGAAGTTCATATTCACGCTCTTATTTTGAAGAATTTTTATCGGTTGAAAACCAAAGCTTCAACACAGATGTCAAACTTATTCAGTTTAAAGTTGCCAGTTGTGACATGTGTCTCAGGAAGTGACTTAGAGTAAAATGTTTTGCTGCTGTTCAGACTCCGACTTCTGCAGGGAAAGATTAAAAGATAAATCTGGCTTTGAAGTTTGAGGTAATTTATTTGTTTTTTGAGACTCACTAGGGTTTTTTTTTTTCTAAAAACTCCTTTATTTGTTTGATTTTTTTCCAAACAATTGACCTGTTTACATGTTTAAAAGTAGAGACTTGGGTAAGTATTCTCTGACCTCTCCGGGAGGTTTCAGCGTGCAGAATCACCTGAACGATGTAGAAAGTGTCGGATCCAAACACTCGGCCCTGATGCTTTCCCTTTATGCCCACAGAGCTGCTCTGGGAAGTTTCAGGAAAACATCCAAAGAGCTGTTTTCTCTTTTTCCCCCCCCCCTCCCCCCCGCCCACCATCCTTTGAGTGGTAACCATGCGTCTGTGGCATGTCTGGTTGTCATAGCGCTGTCGTCTCCATGGAGACAGCATTTCCCTGTCGCCGTGTTTTATGTGTTTGTTCTCGACTGTTGAACAGTTCAGCAACATAAATCTGTTTAGAGTTGCATTTCATTTCGGTGCGGTAACGCTGGATCGCTGCTTTCTGGCCGAACGCCGATGGATCTTTACAAATTCAGAAAACATTTAAATATTAAAGCCAGAATTTAAAATATATATATATATATTTTTTTTTTCCACAGATAATGTCCAACATCAGGACAGCCTTGTGTTTTCTTTTGAGAGGTGATTTAGTTTTTATTCTCAGAGGTGCTGAGACATAGATAACAGCTTATTCTTCTATTTTTGATAAAATTTTATTATGAAGACAAAAATATGAAAACACAAAGTTTACTTATAAAATGTATTTGACGTTTTGATTTATAGAACATTTTTTAATTTATTAAACCCAATTTTCTGATGATTTACATTTAAACTGACTCACTTTCACTATTAAGTTAAATATTATTTTTGTAATATTTTATTTTAATTTGGTTTTAACTAGTCTTATAAGGTAGCCTTAAACCTTATTAGACAAAGTAAATTATTATATTCTGCCCTACTTTGACTTTAAGCAGTCTCATGGGTATGTTGAACGGTGCCCCTAAATAAAATAAATTATTGTTGTTCTTGTCATTGCGTTACAGATGTTTCTTTTTTAACATCTGGATACTTTCAGATATATATTTTGTGTTAATCAGAGCAGCTCATTGTATTGGTTTGTGTCATGGTGCAGCTACCTGGTCGGCGATGAGCTGTGGGTGGTGATGGAGTACCTGGCTGGAGGTTCGCTGACTGACGTCGTCACGGAAACCTGCATGGATGAAGCTCAGATTGCTGCTGTGTGTAGAGAGGTAGAAGAATAAATACTTAAATGTCAAGCATCTGGTTTATAAACACATAGTTATCAAGGGGTGAACGGTTATATAAAGCCCTGATCTTTAAAGAAATACCTAACAGTTAGCTAACCAGGAAAAATAAACAGGATTTCTTAACATTTATTGTATTAGTCAGTCAAATAATTTACATCCAAATGTAAATTATTTAAGATGCATAGAGGTTGTTAAAGAGCATTTTACATGCCATTTCTGACTCAGTCCTGGCTCCCATTAATGTTTAAAGAAACATGGCTTGGAAAGCAAGTACATTTTCTATTTTTTTAGCACCTTTCACAGATAAAAACACAAAGTTCTTCAAAACACGTCAGAAAAGCACATCAAACATAACATGAAATTAAATTGAGCTGTGTTTTAAAATAAGTAATTTAAAACATGTTTAAACTGACACAAACTTGCACTTAACAATATTAATCATACTTAATTCTAGATAACCGCCTGATATGCAGCAGGTCTAATCACATTTTCACAAGCATTATATTTGTAAATTAGAATGACAAAAATGTTATGTCCTATAAGCAAAATAAATGAGGGTGGTACGAACACTCGTCCCTGGGGAACTCCTCCAGCCACGCTGGGCCAAAAGGAGAAATGACGACACCAGGCTCCTCGGTCCAGTGCAGATCACATAAATCTGGTCAAATGTCCGCAGTTCACATTTGTAGTGGCAGATATTCTGACTTACACAGGTAAGAAACACCAGGTGTTGGGAAGAGGTGCATTCCAATTCTACATTAGTGAGTTTGTTGTTGTTTAGAATCTAAATGGAACTCAGCCCATGTTTCCTTCAGTGCTGCCTTGAATTAGTTTCAATTAATCTTAATCAAAAGCAACATTCTTAATAAGTAGGTAATTTTCAGTTAATTGCATGTAACTATAAAAGTTATGTATTTTTTAATGTCAGTTTATGTTTTCTTTGCAGTGTCTGCAGGCGTTGGAGTTCCTCCACTCGAACCAGGTCATCCATCGAGACATCAAGAGCGACAACATCCTGCTGGGCATGGACGGCTCCGTGAAGCTCAGTCAGTGTCACGCCTTCACTTCCTGATCCTTTCACAAAACAACTCCGCTCTGTTTCAGAGAAAGTTTCTCTTTCTAAAGTTTATTTCCTTCAATCTTTGTGTCCATCTTTCTTTTTTTTATTTTTCTTTCCTTTTGTTCTTTTTCTTTTATTTTCATTCTTTATTTTTTCTTCTTCCTTTCTTTTGTTGTTCTTTTTCTCTTTTCTGTCTTTTCTTCCTTTAGTTCTCTCTCTGTTTTTCTTCCATCTTTCTATTTTCTGTCCATCTTCTATTCTTTCTCTTTTTCTTTCCCTTTTCTTGCTTTCTATTTCCATTTTCTTTTTTCTTAGTCTTTTTTTTCCCTTTTAAATTTTTTTCATTATTTTCTTTTTTCCATATTTTATTTATTTTGTCATAAATTCTAAATTAACTGTAGTATTTTATATGTTATATCTAGACTTGAAGACCTGAGAAAAAATTGGGTTTTTGGGGGGAAATGTCTGGAAACCATGGAAACCGTTACCAAGGCGATGCCCTCTCATAAACCCGGCTCAGGGAAATGCAGCTTTTCATAATAAACAGAGGTGTGGAGGGAAAATCACGCCCATGTGGGTTTGCTTGGCAGCTCAGGGTTGTTACAGTGGTGGGTTTACTGTAACCCCTCTTTGCTCTCTACATACACTCCCATTTATTTGCTTCTTTTAGCAAAATGCCTCTTATACAAATATTTAACTTGCCGCATTGAACATAGGAGTTTATTTACCTGAACTTTGGAAGGTTTAACTGAGGTCCGGCTCTTTCTCTCTCTACTTCCCAGCCGACTTTGGATTCTGCGCCCAGATCACTCCGGAGCAGAGCAAGCGCAGCACCATGGTGGGGACTCCTTATTGGATGGCTCCAGAGGTCGTGACCCGGAAGGCTTATGGGCCCAAAGTGGACATCTGGTCCCTGGGCATCATGGCCATCGAGATGGTGGAGGGGGAGCCGCCGTATCTGAACGAGAATCCCCTCAGGGTGAGAGCCGGGGCTTCAGACTCAACTTAAAATCAAGTTAAAAGCATTTTTTATGTTTAGTATTAGGTATTTTTTTAGAAGAAATCTAGTTACGGTGTCCTTCTAAAGTTAATCTGTGATATTTTACTACTTAGCTTTAAAATTTTTAGCTAACAGAGAAAGATTTTACAGCTTAAAATAGTAGAAAATGACCTCCATGTCACAAAGTTAGGAGGATCTTTTTTATTTAATGATTAGAAGTTGTGGTTTATTGACTCAAAGTCAAAGAATTATGTGAATTACTAAACAAACACCATGACTACATCTGTCATAGTAACACATTTTGCTGGACGATAAATTGTCCCAGAAGTTATTTCGATAAATATGGTTGTTTTGAGACAATTTTCAATAAATATAATTCTGGCATTATGGCACATTCTCAAAGATTTATCTCCTTTCAATTAATCATGCAATTAATTGATTTATTGTTTATTGCAACATAATTTATCTCATTGATGCCGCAATGTAGTTGAAGGACGTTCAGATTTTAATTCAGCCATTACTAAGTCAACCACTAGATGGCAGTAAAGTAAAGCTACTACAACTTCAAGGCTCTGCTTGCATTCTGGGAAAAAAAAAACTAAAAATGTTGCTTTTCTTCTTCTTTTAGGCGCTGTATCTCATAGCAACCAATGGGACGCCGGAGCTGCAGAACCCAGAGAAACTGTCAACAATATTCAGAGACTTCCTGAACCGATGCCTGGAGATGGACGTGGAGAAACGAGGATCTGCTAAAGAACTACTGCAGGTAGTTCTCATGAACACACCGGGTCCGGTGTGTTCATGAGAAAAAACAAAACCAAGTGAAACCAGAGAGATGCTGTAAGCTTCATTCTAAATAAATTACTAATCAAGTCATGAAAAACTAATTCTGGGGCAATAAACTGTCCCAGAATTTTTCCGATAGATGATAATATTGTTTTGAAACCATTTTCAAGTAACATATTGATAATGGTGTATCAATACCAGTATTAATATACCATTATTAATGAACTTTAATTTTATACACACCACAGTGAAAGTGGAAGATAATTTAACTATCTAAAATAAAACAAAACAACCAAAAACAATAAATAAAAAGGAAATGAAAACCTTCAAAAAAAGACTGATCATCAGAATGGAAATGATTGAGCTTATTTTAGTTTATCATGAGATTATTGATGAATTGCTTATTGCCACAGGCTTATAAATGCATCAGAGTTGTGAAACATTTGCAGTAGCCATATTTGTTTTATTTTAAATGGATGTTTCTGTCTCCATCCTGCCTCATTTCCTCTCCCAGCACCAGTTCCTGAAGATGGCCAAGCCTCTCTCCAGCCTCACTCCTCTCATTCTGGCAGCCAAGGAGGCGGCAAAGAACAACCGCTAGCTGCCACTGCTCTGGTTTGTCGTCATCGCTACGTGAGTCTGCGGCCGCCGGCCCGGTTACAAAACCCTCAGAAGGACTTGAGTTGTTCTCTCTCTCCTCCTCCGAGTGTTTTCTACCTTGGAGCTGCTTTATTTGCCCTGTCTCCTTCCACCCCATCCGCCTCACAGAGAGGAAAAGCCCCCAAACACCCCACCGGACCCAGGCGAAGGGACCGAGGGACGTCTCCAGAGCCCAAAGACGCCGGCTCGTTTTTATTGTTTTTAAATCAGGACCACATCGTCGGACATTTGGACGTTTTTTATTTTGTTTTGGAAGCGATTCCTTTTTTATGAATCAGTTTTAGTTGTTGCGTGTTTGTCACCGTGGACCGTTGGGATTTTATTCATGTCGATCGTAGCGTCGCCCTGTGCAGAGCCGGTCGGGTTTGGTACTTTGTCGTGTCTTTGTTAAACACTGGTTTGCCCAGAGCCATCAATGGACGAGGTTCAACATAAAACCGAATTATCATCTTTCACTGGAGCACCAGAACCACAGGCTGCTCCTCAACAACGTCACATTAATCTACTAATTCTATGGTTTTAATACATAAATTATGTTTTTTATTTGTCATCTCCCATGCAGTTGCTGTTTAAAGTATTCTAGATTTCTTCTGTTTTTGCTTTTTTGTCACAACAAAAACTTTCAGACCATCAAACTGTTTTTAATATTAGACACTGACGAACAGAGGAAGTTTTAAATGACAAAAGCGATTCAAGAAGTAAAACCAGAGTTAGTAATAACCAGAGTTGGTTCTAGTTACATTCACTCAAGTAACTTTTTTTGGAAAAAAAAAATTACTTTTACTACGCTGTACTTTTACTTGAGTATCTCTACTCTTACTCGAGTAAAATTTTGGGGTTTGGTCCATCCGATGATGTAATTTTTAAATATTAAAGGTTTAATTTGACCAGTTATTCAGTACTTGATTAGACCTTTTACCAAGTACTTTTGTACTTGAGTAAAATATATTGAAGTAATGCTACTCTTACTTGAGTACAGTTTTTGGGTACTCTACTCTGCGAGTAAAGGGCCACATCTGGCCACGCCCCTCCGTGCATCCTGGCTCCGCCCACTTTGCTGGAACTGTCCAGAAATTGTCTGGGGGGCAGGGCTAGTTATGTTAGCCTCTTTCACATAGAAGCCAGGTTGATTTGTTTTCTGTTATCAAGTGAAATAATAATTTAAAAACTAAATTCAGTTCTGATCTGAAGCAGAAGAAATCTGTAAATACTTTCTCACAGATCTGTAGATAGAGCTGTAGAATTAAAAAGGGGTGTACTTATTTTATTATTTCAGTAAAAGAGGAACCGTCCATCTGTGGCTCTGGGCGTCGGTGGGCTCGTTTTGGGCTCTGGGGGGAAAGTGCATGAGATCCACCTTTTCTTTGTTTTTATACGGTATGTTTAGAGTAAGAAGTGATAAATGAGCGCATCGATGATTAATGAAGGATGCTTGTGTACGATAGTAGAGATCATATCTGAATCCTATTTTCAGAAGACGGATAAATGTTTTCCAGCCTGGAGGAGCCCTGTGAACATGCGGTGTATATTTTACATGCAAGAAGAAAAACAACCGTTCCAGCTTTTGTTTACAGATCATTTTTTTATACATTGATCAGATTATTACATTTATAATTTTTGGATGAGGAGTTGAGCTTCGGAGAATCTGAAAACTCTGCAAAAAACTCCTAAACATTTATCCAAAACTGTCTCTGATTTTATGATTTCTTCCTTTTTTTGTTATTTTTTTAGGTACTTCTGGCCTTAAACTGTTTCAAAGGCTTAAGAATTGTTTTAATGTTTGATGGAAGTGACGAGCTGCAGCATTTTCAGTCGAAGCTCCATTTAATTTCAACACAACTTAAAGCTTAACTGTTATTACTGGATATTTCTCTGCAGCAAATCAGCAGGTGCAACAAAATGTGAACATTATCCGCTTTGCATCAGAAAAACAGGCGAAAGTTTATGATTTAATGTTTAATAACTGGCTGAAAATGTTGCAGTTGTGTTGTTGTGTCCAGGTCTGAATCCCCATAAAGCTCAGCTGAATATTTAAAGGGCTATTCTGCAGTTTTTCATATTTAGTTTGAAACCAAGAGTCACGATGCAGGAGCTGCCTGTCGAGTATTTTTCATCCAGTTTCTGGTGCAAATACCTTAATATACTTGAAATAAGAGAAAACTAACTTACAAGTTACTTCTAAGCAAGATATAGGAGTTTGTTTTAAATTAATTCCTTAATATCAATTATAAAAAGTACTGGTTCGATTAGCAGATTATTTCACTATTAACATGGGTAAAATATCTCATTATAGATTAAATGGCGTATTACTGCCAGTGTAGATGGGAGAAAAAAGAGACTAAATTTCTGCCAAAAATCTTAGACGTTTTCTAGAAAAATCTTAGAATTTTCTGAGTTTGAAAATTTGCTAAAAAAAAAAAAAAAAAATTCTAAATTTAATCACAGTAATTTGAAAAAAAAAAAAAACAGGAAATAAAAGTAGAAAATTTGACTAACCTCGGTATACTGTTGGGTTTCCAAACATATTTTATATATTTATTTTAATAAAGCACAATTCTTTTCATGATTTTTCACTTTTGATTCTCAGACATAAACAATAACTATCACTCTTTTCAAGGTTTTATATTTCCAAGCAACCATGTCAGTCCCGGTCTGAGCAGATTAGTCTTCAGTGTAAATAACCATGAATGTGTTTCAGTAACTGTCTCATGTAGACTTAATGGCCTTTTAAGGCTTATAAAATGGCGTTCAAACTGCTTCTGAGTTGACTTGAGTTGAAAAATATCTACTTTTTTCAGCTCCAGTGAGATTGATAAGTTCAGCAGATTGGAAGAAATTCATTTCATATGAATCCATAATGAACGTTTTCAGAGATCTAATCAAATCTACGAAAGACGCTGACCGCTTATAGCGCTCCAGATAACCCAACTTTTTTAAAAATAAAGCAGTACTGTCCTCTAAGTCAGCTGTTTCCAGACTTTTAGCACAAAATCACCAAGTTGAAAGCACACAATACTCTGAACTGTATTTAGCTCATTTTAATTACTGGGTGCAATAAAGTGTCTTTGAGTAAAAAGTTACTGGAGATTTGTGGCTCTGCTCACTTTATCATTAAAATGAAAGCAAAAATAAAAACAAAAAAAAATCTAAAAACACTTATTTTGTACTTAAAATGTATTATTTAAAGTATAAATTTGTTATTGAAAATCTCATACAAAGAAAAACAAATCTGGATCAGCTCCATTTACTGGAGTAAAACCATGCCCAAACTGCGTCCAGGAGCCACACAAAACTATTCCAAGGACCGCAAATGGCCCACGGACCACACGTTGGACACCCCTGGTCTAAGTGCCAACATTAATTTCCTGTGTCACCTGATGTATAAAAGAATAACAAACACACAAACGAATAACACTAATACACAAAAGAAAAACACTATTAATGTCAGGTACTGTCCACACAACAGCGCCACCTGCTGGAAATCCTCATGATAATCTTCATAAATGAGTTTTGCACAACAGCAGCAGCTTTGATGGGGATTGAGACTTGGTCCAACGTTAGGATGACAATGAGAAGATCAAACAAAGTCTCCAATCTTTACTGTATCAGAGCCATAATTTATCTGTTTGTAGAAATTGTTTTTGATTTTTCAAGACAACTGAAGAGGAACAAATAAAACGGTACAAAAACTGAATGATGTGACTTGTTTTCTTCCCAGAAAGTCCAGATAAACATGATGCTTAAATCCAGATTAGTGGCAGAAACTTCCAGTCACAGTGTTGAGCCAGTTATTTTTATTTATAACATTGTTTCCTGAGCCTCTAAACCCTTTAAGACAATTATGTAAACTGCTGTTCTGTAAATCCGGGAGAAAAATAATCTAAAATCTCTCACTGATTTCTTTCTGTCACACTCTGAGGATTTCCACTTTAATTAGCAGAGATAATTACCGTTCGCCCGCTTTCAACTTCGGATAATGAGGCAGTGTGTGAGTCAGTGTTGAGGCCTCCAGTGGCCGAGCGGTGGATCCGGTCCAGGTTGTTGCGTAATTCTGAACTTTCATTAATGTTTCAGCTGAGTGAACCCAGGCCTGTTGGCGTTCACATCTGAAAAAACAGGCAGAACATCAGGAGGAAGCAGCCGACCGGGTAATTCCTCGTGCGGCGTGGCGATTTACACGTGCTTTTAGCTAATATTACATCACTGGAGTTGAGAAGTTGTAATTTAGGGACCTTTAATGAACAGGTATCTTATTGTACGAATATGTGTCTGATTAAACTTGACCACAGAGATGCATAAATAGGAAGAGTTTTAGGCTATGTTCACACTGCAGCCTGAAATGACCCAATTCTGATTTCTTATTTATATGTATATTTAATTTTTCTACCTCAATGCGACCTGTATCGGATCTTCTCATGACAGTCTAAATAACACAGATCAGATTTTTTATAAAGCGACCCAGGCCACTGGGATATCCGAGCTGAAATGTTCAAATGTGATCTGAATCTGAACGGCCAAGTCTCATTCATCCGACTTAAACGTCATCGATACTCGACAAACGTCACTATTCTGCGTCCTGATACACGCAAGCAGGAAGAAAAGCAACAACCATGACGGACCATAATGGGGTTTAAGCTGTTAATGTGCTGCTCTGGTCGGACAACGACTTCAAAATTGTAAGCTAAGCTCCACCGTTAGCATCCCTGTTTACTTCCGCAAAGACTGTGCACTTCTTCTTTTATGGCGGTTGGCGAAACTACTGCGCATGCGCGGCATTACAGCTCACACAGGAGATCCCATACCTGATCCCATACAAGTCGCATTTGGATATGTGAACAACCGAAACACATAAGATTTCACAAAAAAATCGGAATTGAACTTTTTTAAGCTCGCAGTGTGAACGTTGCCTTAGCCTGTTTTGTGGTCTCTATTTATTACTCGGTTTGTTTAAATACAGTTTCCTTTAGCTTTCTGATTTTCTATAATGTTGAGCTAAGCCCATAATAAAACAGCCCATAATAAAACAGCCCATAATAAAACAATTTTGTTAATGAATTCATTTTTAGCTAAAATTAATCTTGGAAAAAGTGATCTTGCTAATGCAACTACTGTACAATTCTAAAGGTGGCTTTTTATGCTTCCTTGAACAGACTATGCAAAACTTGTTCATTACATTTTTTTTGCACAAAATCATTCTCAGATAATGAGATTATAGTCTGATCAGTTCTGCCTATTTTGAACTGTTTTAGGGGCTCTGTCACTTTAAATCTCAATAAGCTGCTGCTGGCCACATCCCTCAAATCAACTCGCTTGTGAAAATTACTGCAAACAGATGCATAATTATACCGCACATCTTTGAAAAGCAGAAGTGGAGACTCCTGTACAACCAACAAGGAAGCAGCAAGTGGTTTCTGGATGGTAAGTCAAAAATAAAACACTTCTCTTTTCCAGCAGCCATTGTTCAATGCATACAGCAGTAAAACCAGCTTGTGTTGCTAGGTAACAGCGCAATGTCACTCAATCGTGAGGTCTTTGAAACGGCTCATTTTCCAGACACCAAAAAATATTAACTGCCAAAAAACAGGCAGGTGTTTTGTAAGTGTTTGTGCTGTTTTTAGAAGCAGTAGAAACTCAAATGGAAGTATAAAAACGTGAAAAAGTGAATTTTGAGTTGTAGATCCCCTTTAAGGTGGCCATAAACTTAGCTTTCCTCACAGCATAATTTATAGATTTACACACAATATTTATATTTAGAAGCAAACTCAAATTTTTCCAAACAGAATCTAAAAACTGAGAGATTTAAATGTTTCTCAGAAAATACAAGCAGCTCTGGGGTTTTCATAAAGTCCAGTTTTTGCTCTTATCCCAGTTCAGGTTGCATCAAGCGTCTTACTTTCTGCACCGAACCTTTTGCAGTGGAGAGTTTGTCACCATGGTGACTGAGTGAAAATGACCTGACATTCGGTTGCAGTTTTTCCCCCTACCTCAGATTCACACAGTCGTGGATCTTCCTCCCGTGGTGCAGAGAAACGATGATGCTGGTTTCTGCTGCGGCTGCAGGGGAGATGAGCCGTGACAGGAACAGAGCAGGAAACGGATGAGAAGTGAGATGAAAACAAGACTTTAGAGATGAAGGAGACTGAGAAGATAAAAACTGAAGGAAGAGGAGTGAAGGGAAGAAGAAGTGAAGGTTTAAAGGTTGAGGCCAACGGAAAGGTGTGAGGAAACAACACAGTCGTGGGAATAACTGGATGCACTTCATGATTCAACAACTGAAGAACTTATGGAGAAATAATAACTCTAACTTTCTTAAAGGGACAGTATCATTTAAAATCAAAGTTTTTCAGCTTTACATCATGTTATAATGTTATGGAGTGTTGCTTTGATTTTTTTGAGGAATCCTTTAATCTCCATGGCAACCACTTTGTTCAAAACACCTGAGTGGACCTGGCTCCGCCTTCACGGGAGAAGCGCCTCCCGCTCTCAACTCCTTCAGACTAGCCACCAGCAATTAGCAACACCTAGAGGAATTTCGCATCTGCTGAGCTCATTAGCAACTTCTCCAATTTTAAACTGATAAATTCTGAAGTTATGAAGTTAAGTTTTTTGTTACAGTGGCAGTGTTATGTGCTTTCCAGCCACAGCGTCATTTTATAACATAATCAAGTAAAACTCTGTTACCTTCACTTGTTATAAAATTATGTATATATGTCAAATATGACTTAAAATAATTTTTAGTATTATCATTCCACCAACACCGTGCTTCACAGTGGAATAGGAGATATTTGTGCTGACATGCTGTTTACAGGGGCTTGCAAAAACATTAAATGTTTTTCATTATTTAATATTTTCTTACAAACTTAGAATTTTAACAAACACAAAGTAGCATATAATTGTAAAGGGAAGGAAAGTGATGTGTTTTTTTTTCTTACAAATAGAAATCTAAAAAAATGGGCATAGGTTGGTATTCAGAGCATCTTTTTTCCTTCAGTTACTGCTGCAAACATTTGGAGTATTTCTCATACGGCTTCTATATATAGATTCTGATCTATTTCAATTTCTCTGTTGGATTTATGTTTGAACTTCTCTACAGTTACTGGTGATTTTAGTTAGAGGTGCACCAATTGCAGTTTTCTGGCTGATCGCCAATTACAATCTTTAAAAAGCCGATTCCGATTTTGGCCGATATTGATTTTTTTTTTTTTTTTTTTTTTTTTTGAAAATGGCAAAAAACCCGTTGGGTTTGAAAACGG